TGGAACAGTAGGAAGGACAATCCAAATGGTAAGAATATAGAACATTAGGCGGATATACTCGTAATTTTATTCTAACCCCCTTTGAACCTACACATCGCTCAACTTGAGGTTCCGTCGATGTGTTAATCAGTTTTTTAAAGAACATTCCGATTCCTGTGCATAACTAACCTTTATGAATTACCAACAGAGCATGAGCGGTATTATTACTAGTTAAAGATTTAAGTCGGATCAATACAAAAATGATCCTAGTGATAACTAATTGGAATCTATTTGAACACACAGTGTTAAATAATTTATCACTCTATCCTCATAAAAAAAGATTATTACTCATTAAACTTATCAAAGATTCATGAAATTTTAAATAACTTCAAAAATATCTTTTCTCTCGTCCTAAGAAAGTCAGTAAATAAACATAGACTATTAAAAAGAATAATAATGAAAAGAACTTGCCCCATGTGACAAATTAGCCATTAACAAAGTAACTAATGCGGTTAAACGCGAACTGAATGCATTTTATTACAACCCTTGGAATAAGAAGCTCAATTTTTAAGTCCGTCTAATAATAGTATTTGGAAAATGAAATATGCTTTTAAAACTCAAAGATAAAAAATTGACATACCACCTTTCGATAATAGAGGAGAAAATAACTTCTTTTAATAAGGGAAAGGCCAATATATCTGCAGAAAGATAATCTCCTCAGTGCAAGCCCTCCACTATTTTTAGTAATACAAATGAATACTTCGTGCATAACCAAATACTACCTTACTTCTGCAAAGATGCATCATCTGATTTTTAAGTGTGTTTATGAACAACAAGGAGGCTCAAACTAAAATCATTAAAATGATGTTTTTAAAAGTAGGGGCCCTGTGGGGGTATATACCGAATTGCAAATGAATAATCCACCAATGGCTAATTTGAATATTTAAAACTAATCAATTTTAATTTTATTAGGGTTACCCCTTCCTACAAAATGGCAAAAATCAGAAGTTATTCTCATACTATGTTTTAGTGCTTTAACCCAGAAAATTATATAAAATTAGTGTCTTTCTCTTGGTTGAAGACTCTTTTAACTTTATTGAACTGTGTTTGTCTTATATTTTAGTGCTTATACCCATAAACTTGTTTTAATCTTTTATCTTTGTATGGGAATTAACATTATTTGGTTAATTTATCAATTAATTCCCGTATTGTTAAAATTACTGCATCCATAATACTCTTCAGATTACCAGAATTTCGCAAATTCTACAAATTTTGTCTCCCCATACCTATTTTATTTTTGCTAAGAACACTTTAAAACACAGTAAATTTTAAGGCTCGGAGAGAAGAATACAAAAGCCTTTAATTACAAGAAATCAACATTTTATGGTTTCTTAGATATTAAAAAAAGCTTTTGATTGAGCCTGGCATGAAGGATTTATAAATAAATTTTTTTGTGAAAGTTACCAGAATACCCTAGGCGCGTGCTGTACTCAAATTTTTGCATTTGCTGTACGAATAGGAGAAGACTTGTTCCCCCCTTACCCCCCAGGATCCTTAAAGTTGGATTCCCTCAGCGCTCTTTCTTATAATTGTAACGGTGGATTTGATATTCCTTCTCCCACCAAATGTTTTTCTAGCACTGCCGTATATCGTAGCTTAAAATTAACTGCATTAGCTAATAAATATATGCAAATCTATCTTTATACACTTGAATAATGGTTTGGGAAGGGGAAAATTACCTTAAAGCTTACTAAATGCCGAGCGATAATCATCTCGAGAAAAAGAAAAAAGGAAATCTTAAAAGCTCTACCGCTATCGTAAACATCTATTTTTTGGTGCAACAAGTAAAATACCTTAGAGTTATTATTTACTCTAGACTTAACTGGAAGCTTCATTCTGCTTTTATATCCTCTTAAAAGCAAAAGAAGCCATTTGGATTTTGAAATTAATTTTCATATATAATTAGCTATTATTAGACTATTATATTTTACACATCTGTCTTATAGTCTTACTGCTCGGCTTTGCATATAAACAGTTTTCAGATCCTTCAAAACAGCCTTTTAGAATTTTTACAGGCGGCACCTTAATCCTTGCAAATTCCAGAACTACATAATGAACGTGAATTCAACCTCTTTTGCGTTACCTTAAATAGAGGGCTATGACATATTTAACTTGTTATGAAGAGCATCCTATCAATTTGATAACTAATGCATTGAACTATAACCTTTATAAAATACAAACAACCTAACCATTTATAAATTTTTTTATGGAGGAGGGGAGGGGGATGTTAAACCCTTATTTTCGAAGACATCGCTGTCTAACAAGATTTTAAACCATTGAAAGTTCAATATTTAAACAAGGTTTATGAAACAATCTCGGATTTTAGATTATTTAATAAACATTTAATTTAAAAGAATAAACAGGAACGGTATCGGTAAATCTAATTATCTCTCTCAGTCTCTTTATTTTTTTTATTTTTATTTATTAATTTATATATTTTTCTATGAATTCCATGCTTTAAAATTTACATTGGTTTAAAATCTTGTTTCTGTTTTTATTTTTTTGTTAAAAGAGAAGACCAGAGAGGCCTTACATATTGTAGAAGAGGCCACTCTCCTGAACCCTCTCTACAATGAGTGCATTTAGATTAAGCAGTTTAAGATATTGCAGATATATCGACTGTAGTATATTAGAACGATAAATTAATATATAAATACTTTTTTAAATCTAATTAGTACTCTATGAGTATGGCTATGTTTAGAAAACTCATAGTTTTCTGATTAGGTCGAGACCCAGGAAAAATCAAAAGAAAAAAATTAAGCTTCGAGTTTTGAAAAAGCTTTTAACTTATCAAATGATTTTTATATTACATTCTATTTTCAAGTTACAAGAAGTTGTTTTTCTAAATATTATTTATATCGCCTTTAACATTAATGTATACGTTAAAAAGTACTTTAACTTGAACGCTAATTCATCGCCATGTATGAAGTTAGGTAACTTATTAATTGTTATTATATACGCTATACAAATCAAAAACTAACTAAAAAAGTTATGAATATTATCACTAATAACTCGCCGGTTGTGAAAAAGCAACCGGTGGAAAATAACAGAGCACCCTAACTTCTAACGGTTCTTAAGTAATTAATTATCTCTATGATCTTAAACCGTGCACTGTTTTATCAAAATTCTACTTTTAAAAACTTGCGATAAGGTTTTTCAATAAGGCTGTCGTCCATGTTTCATAGGGAATTTAAGTAATTAAATACAGTTCAAAGTCGTTCCTCAATGGAAATAGTAACATAAATAACGGAGTGGGATCCTTCATTCTAGTTTTTTAGAGGCCTCTATAAAGTTTTAATTTATCTTTAAAAATGCATGAATTGGATCTTAAATATCATAGATATATGTCTTTTTTTAATTAGTAAAATAAGGTCTTCAAGGCAAAGGTGTAGGTGGCAGTGGTATAGTCATGTTGGTTATTCAGTTTACGCGGCCTAAGATCTCTATTCAAGAAGACTCAAGAAAATAAAAGATTAAGGTAGAAAGAGCTGAACTACAAGAGTACGCCATTTAAAAGTGTACTACCAGGATTGTTAATCAGAATGACAAAGATAACCAAAGACAAAATAGAAGTTAAGTTAGTTAAAGTTGACACCCTGATTCGGTAGTCCGAACACTAGCCGAAGATCTAATATAAATACTAACGTAGCTACTGGGTTAACAAGCAAACTGAGCTACATTTATTTGGACTTTAATTCTTAAGCACTGAACTAACCTTCTTAGGGCGAGTTTGTGAACAACGAGATCAGGAAATTTAATTAAATAGGGGCATTTTAACAAGTACACAGTTTATGAAACCGCCTTGTAATTTTGTGTCCTGTAGTAGTAAAAAGCATATAACCCTGTTTTTATCATTTTTTGAAGGCCGCATCTAAAATTGTTTTATTAGTGTTAAAGTTAGTCTCTAAAACTTAAGAGGGCTGAGGAGAGGATTTGATGAAAATAAAAACATGACGAAGGCAAGTTTTTGAAATAAAAGGAAGCAGTAAAGCAGGAACTTGTATGTAAGTATCAATGTGAGCATTGTAAATTAGTGCAGACAAACAAAGGTGCCGAAAGTGCGATATTTAAAAGATAGGAGCACCGAAGGCAAAATTATAAAAATTAAAATTTAGATATATAGCTGCTAAGAGATGCGACTATAACCTTATTTATTTATTAATTACGTATTTTTGTTATTGCTTACAACAAGATTTTTATTAAGGATATGCTTTGTTTAAAAAAAAAAATCCTTTCCTAGTAAAAAGAAATCTTCAGAAAATAAGCTGTTGGTGCCTTCAGTAATAACACATTTTTACTATTGCTTGCATTAATATTATAAAATACTAAATCGACAATAATAATTCCCAAAAAATTTGCAGATTTTTTAAAAAATTATCTTTTTTCCTGAAGTAAATCTATTGATAAAATAAGTGGGTGTTAAGTTTCTTTATTAATTACACTTTTTTACTTTTACTTGCAACTAATATTATTAAATCGACTTATCTAAAATATACTTTATGTTTTAATAAAAGTAAATTTCTAGTAAAAGCGGTTCTTGCCCTATATTGTGGAAAATAAATAATATAGTTACGCTATTTTTTATTGCTTGCAACAACGCAATGAATTTTTTAAGAACGCCTCAATTTTTCTAATAAAAAGGCTTGCTAAAAATATTCTTTTAAAATTTTAATTCTAAAAAAAGTAATTTTGTTAGTATAAGTTTATAGTAGAATTATTTATTAGTAACACTTCCTTTATCTGCATAGTAATTACATAATTTGTATACGCCGAAGCCAGATAAGCTCAAGGAAAGCAGAATTCCAACACTAAAAAGTACACAATAATAGCAAAAGGATATCATCTTTGTTTCAAAAGATATCATATTTTGTTCAAAAGATATCATCTTTGTTTCAAAAGATGTCATATTTTTTTCAAAAGATATCATCTTCGTTTCTTCTGTTGGAAACTTTTTCCTATTAAGCTCCTTTTTTATAATCTTTTCAAGAATTCGTGTAGACTCTAAAAAAACTAAAATCTTGAAATTTATCATCAAGCTGGCACTTCTCGTCGACGAACATAAGAACGTTGTGGTACCGCAAACGCGTGCGGCAGTCGAATCTTTTACCAAGCGTTAACTTTCTAACGAAAAAAGCGAAATTAGTTATGACTTATTAATTTAAGATTTTATTATCTTTGAGTGATATTATATAAATAATTATTATATAGTATAAAAAATCTTAAACTGACATTATTTTCATTAATTAATATTATTAATGCTTGCGTTATTTACAAAATGCTAAAATTAAAAGGTTTAGAAAAAGCATCGGGTCCAATATCAGTAATAATATTATCCTTCTCGGCGGCATTATTAATTTTTCTAAGTAAAAAAATTTATAATTAATTTAGCAAAGTCGCCCGGCATAAATCTTCCAAATATAAAATGTTAAAAGAAAATATTGTAACAAACAAAAATATTTTTATATTCAAGTAAAATTAAATAAATTCGTAAATAAATTTTTTACAAAAAAGAATTATTAAAAAAAAATTATTATAAAAATTTACAAATAAAATTAGTTATTTTTTGAATCCCCATTATACTAAAAAAATAGTAATTTTTTTTCTATCCAAAATTTTCTTACAGAAAAGTTAAAGCCCTCAAATGGAAAAACAAACCAGACGGAAGAAAATTTATTTCGTTATAATCAAGACGTCTGAATTTATTATAATAATTATATTAAAATTTTAAAGCATCAAAGCTATTAAGTAGTTGCAGTATTGATTAAAAAACTTACAAATATTGAAGATTGCTAAGTGTTCTAAACAAGCGGCTGTCTAGCGATACCAGCAAGTTTTCGCTCAAATCTCTTTCAATTAATCAATTTACCTAAATATAACTTTTTTTAAAAATTTAGAACTTACAGGTAAGTTAACTTCGTCATCCACAAAAATGATATTGGCATAATAAATAAGATTTGATTATTATTCAGCTTTCTAATTCCACGTGCACCACGAAAAAATAAATTCGAAAAAATATTAGTTTTATAATAAAAAGATCCGGAAAAGTGAAATTTCTGTGCTTAACAAAATTACTGCATCAATTAATAAATTAATTTCACAAATATCTATTTATAAAATCTTGCGTTGCACTATCAACTCACAAGCATTCAAGGCTAGAGAGTTTCTGGAACATACCATCAAGAGAAGTAAGAATATTATAGCTGAAATCTCTATAAAAAATATTTATAAAAAATTAAAAATTTACTTACAGAAAAAAAAATTTTATACTACTTTTCGTTAAACTAAATTAGAGGGGGAAAATAATTTACAAAGTCTTTAGATTAACAAGCTCGCGCAATCCTTTTGGAAAATTTGATAATTTATTGCTTCCAAGGTTTCTAATTATGTTTCAAAAAATGTTTAAAACTTGATAGAAACTAAAATAAAATTATTATTATAAATTTAAAAATTTAAAACAAATATTTTTTTAAAACAGAAAATTGCAAATAACTTAAAACTGCTAACAGTAGATAGACATCGCCTAGATAGTAACTCGCACTAAATGACTTGAATAATTCTTTGAGAATTAGTTTTTTATTATTAAAATATTAAAGATAGACAGATTTCAAATAAATAAATTATGCTGCAACTTTATTAAGAAAAAAAATTATGTTCATATAAGCCAGCTAAAATAGATCAGTAATCTATATACGGCCAAGCCAGGAAGCAAACATTGCAAGCTACATAAGAACTAACTAAATTTTAATTTTATAATTAATAATAAAAGCTTAAGAGAAAGATACTAATAAAGATAACAATTATATTTTTAACTGGCGCAGTATATAAATAAACTGCTATATATTTTATCCAAAAAAATAATAACTACCAACAATAAAAAATCCATAAGATTCCAGATATTTAACATAAAACATAGAGTATAAACTTACAAGTATAGAAGTTTATTAAATTCGTTAAAATCAGAAACGGGAGTGTAAGACAACTTATTACCTTCTAAATTCCTAAACAATCACAATAGTTGGTATTGTGTATTCGAAATAACTTAAAAAATTACAGTTCAGTCAAATGATTTAAACATGACCATGCCGCTGGGACAGAGTTTATACTATTCTTGCAAGATTTCTATATTAATTAAAATAAATGATGCAAGAGTGGAAAAGTAAACTTTAAAAAATCAGGAAATGCCAATGTCACGTGTTACATCACATGAGTCAATTAGTAAACTGAGTCTTAGCCACGTGATTTTTATTTCCTAATCTAACGCATAAAATGAGCACGTGCAGAGGATATAGTCAGCTCTTTAAAAATCGTAAAGAAAACTTTTTTTTTAAGGTCTTATTCTAGCGCGGTGGCCGGAATTTTCATGAATTTTTCTTTAGCGACTTACAAATATTTAAGTTCGGCGGAGCATATAAGAAATGTTTTATAAGCCGTAAGTTTATTATTTTCCAGATCCCTATAAATTTTTAAAAAAAATTATTTTATGCAATCAGAAGGAAAATTAAGACTTAAAATTTTTGTAAGTTAGGCCAATGAATTAATGAAGGGCTTTCAGAAATTCCATTATGGGAAATGTTCCTATGTATATAATAAAGTTTTTTTTTAAAATAAGTAAGCGAAATTAAATCTACTTCTGTTATAGTCATTATATTTATATATTACTTTTTTTTTTAAGAATTTACAAAATATTTAACTGGTAGAAAAAAATAAAAAAATCTTTTGAGGTATTATGGTGAAGTACTGAAAATTTATTTTAAAAGATTTTTTTATGTATTACATATAAAGTTAAGAAACATAAAAAAGGTTTTAAAAGTAAGGAAATAAGTCTATAAAATTATATAATACGAAATCTAGCGGTAGCGAGTTTTTAATTATTAGATGTTAAAAAAAAGCAATTATTTATATATTTACTTACAGAATCGACAAATTCTTATATATTTTTAAATCTTCCGTATTTATAGAGTTAATTTCATTTTGGGAAAGATCTCTATAATTATTTGAGTTATCAGTATAAACAGTTATAATTTTAATTATAAGTGATATATATTTAATATTAAAATAGGGGTTTATTAATTTATTACTACATTGACTTAGTACAACTGAGAAATTTTGTGGTCGGCGGTTTTTTTCTAGAATTAAAAGGTTACAGCTGTTTTATATAGAGGCTTACAGGTGTGTAACTTTGTCGTCCATAAAATCGCCTTTATTTACATTTGCAAGCTTGTTACCGTCCAAACTTCTAAGAAACCAAAAATACATTAGCAGCTTTAGTACAAACATAAATTACGGACTTAGCATTAATTTAGGCGTCTGTTAAATTTAGAAATTGGTCTAAAAGGTTGTTCACAAACACTCAAAACTTATAAAAGAGATTGCCCAGTTTAATGCTAATATTATTTTACATTAATCTTTTCCTTTAAAGACTAAACGCTTTGTAAAATTTTTTATTAAAAAAGGCATACATATATGTCAGACTCTGTTCATATTCTTCTTTTGGAGGAAACGCCTTGTAAGAACAAGAACGAAGGATTCTATTTTATAAATTAGGCGTTTAAAACTAGTTAGTTAGAAAAGTAATATAGTATCTGTTAACTTGTCAGTTTTATTAATTTAAGAAACTACTTAAGTTTACGACATATAGACAATAGTAAATTTTTTAAAAATATTAAATTTAACGTAGAGCTATATTTTTAAAAATAACAGAAAAAATTAGCAAAAATTTTATAAATATTTTATGTATTTAAATAGGCCTCACATAGCGTAAAAATCACTTTATACATAAAAATTAAACGCTAATTTCTATTATGAACGTAAACAGTAATTAGTTTAACAAAGAATTTTCAGATCTGGTCCGTTCACAAATTAGTGAAGTGGAAATTTTCACTACCAAAGAGACAAAATAGCAGGTTATCGAAAAAGAAAGCATTAAAAAATATATAAAAACTTAGAGAAATAAGAATAATTTGTAGTATACAATCATTAAGAGTAAAGTTCTCATTTTTATATCTAATTTGTAAACTTAAGAGCTTGATGCTTTGGGGCCTGACGTCATCCCTTGGCAAAATAATCTCTGTATTACCCTCCAGAAGTAACGCGTTAATTAGGATAGTTTTCTTGACATGGGTTTTTTCAGGTCCCCCCAAGGGGTCAGAGCTGGCTGTGGTGGGAGTGGATTTTGAGTATTTAAATGTTTTACAAATATTACGAAAACGCTCCTTTGGTCTTATCAGTCAACCCCTGCAGTCAAAATTGTTGAGGCAGGCCTCGTTATTAGTAAATTATTTTATAGTTAGCGAAACCCTATAAATCTATTTATATACTATGAGATTTCGAACTATTTTCACAATTTATTCTGACATTAATATAAACATCATTACTTCCCATTAAAGCTAATATTTAAAATAACCTTAAAGCTGAACTTCTGTGATGTAACCTTTAATTATATACAAAATTAAAGTTTTCTTATATCCCCTTTTTAATTTTTTTATAGTTTAATTTAGAACTAAGTAAAATATTTAATCTTGGTTATAGGATTTCATAAATCTTGTAACCTAAGTGAATTTTTCTTTTTAGGTTTGAAAGGAACTTTAGTTTCTTATACCTTTAGATGCCTTCCACTTTACGAAAAATTTGTATATTGTAAGCTACACTAACACCTGTAGTTTTACTTGAACTCCTCGAAAGTTTAGCTTAGTTTTTATTAAACATAATATTCCGTTTTAATAAGTAATTTGAACTTATAAGTTAGATGTTATGAAAAGTCTTAATTTTTTTTTTTAGAGTTATAAATATGGAAACAATACTAAATTTTAACTTATAAAAATTTGAAAGGTAACTTCAGTTATTTTTGCTTTTATTACACCTTCAAAATATAGATTTTGTACGACAAACTATATAGATATAAAAGATCTATCAAACAGATAAATATAATAGACTCAATGGAAGTAAAATAAAATCAGAAAGTAAAGAGTACTAAATAGCAAAGACATTTGAAATCCTAAGAAAAAAAGAAATTTAAAAGGATGTAATGGAGTCAATTAATAATTTATTTATACTACTAATAGATAACCAACAAAAGTATGTAAAACGGTTCACAAGGCCGCAAAATCTGCCTTCCAAGATTTTTTAGTTTGACGTATATATAAAATATGTATCTGATAAAATAGCTGGTAATAAATGAAAGGTAGAGATAACACTTATTAAGTAAAAAAGATACACTAATGGGCCCTAAAATAAAGGCCTGCAATATCCCAATTCATCATCGAAGTTCAACTTTAACCCAGCCCAAAAATAAACAAAGTCATCCACCATTAGGAAAAATAAAAAGTAAAGAAAAATTATCTACCTCCCTTAAAAATACTTTTTAGTTTTATAAACAACATTCTTTAAAAGGTCAAAATCTAAAAAACCTAAAAATTTTTTTCTAGTGTAAATCTACAGGTGGCCCATGGCGGGCTTCAAACAATGAATTTAAAGATTTTCCCAAAGGAAAAGAGTTGGAACATTGATATTACTTTTCTATTCTCTTAAGTAGCCTAACTAAATTGCCAATAGGCCTCATATCAGGAGCTATTCCCAAACTGACAATAATCAACTTTTTGTCTTCTGTCTCAGACCTTCTTTGCCGCGCCCTAACGTCAGGTTATAGTTTTTAGTCTAGAGGGCTAGAACAAAGATAACGTCTAGGGGGCGTTATAGCTGAAGTTATAAATAGCTTAGTAGTCTAGAGGACAACTAAGTATATATTAAGTTAACTAGTTTTAATAAATATTTTAAACTGATTTAGATACTTTATTAAACACTTTCTATTAAGACATCAACAAAATCTAAGGGGTGTTGTACACTTTCTGTCAAAGGCTCTAGTATACTCAGGATATCTAAAATGTTGGATATTAGACTTTCAACTTTAGTAGGTGTACCAGCACACTGGTAATCCCCAAAAATAACGGACTTTTTCAGGTTGCCCTATAGAGTATGGTTTGTAATTTTTTAAAACAAAACTTAAATTGTTGCAATTAATTGTTTTAGACTAATCCGAAGTTCCTAATAAATTTAATTGACCAATAAAAACGCGACTGCTAAAGGGAGGCGCGGACCTGCTATTGGCATGTTGCGTTGTAAGCAGGGCGAGGAGAGTATTGTCAATACAGGAAGCCCTCAGCTGGAATTGCCCATGGTCCGTTTATTTATACAAATTGTGATTTGCATATTAAAGTTTTCTTACGGATCTTCAAAGTAGTTACTCCCTAACTTGTAAGTTTTGGGTTTTTTTTGTTTTATGCACAATTGCTGTACATTTAATATCTTAAAAAGTTATATCTAGTATCTAACAGACCTAAAATTTATATGCTTTTAATAGGAAAAAGTAACTAAACAAACTTTTTTTTTCAAAATTGTATCAATATTTTTATAAAGGCAGCAGGAAATTCTAAGGCTATTTTTTCTGTTGGTTTTAAAAGTCAATTTAAAAGTAATAAAAAGTTAAAATTTTTTTATTATACCTAATTGTAAGTAAGGTAACAGATTCTATTTTTTTATCATATTTTCTATTTAAAGGACCTTTTTGTACAAGGCCATATAAATAACTTTCGTACTTGTTAAGGAACGGCCTTCTTTTGGCTTGAATAATGCAATCTGTGAACGCCAACTGTAAAAATAATTAGCTTTATTATATTTTTTAAACAGTCTAAAAAATATGCTTTTTTTTATTTAAGCACGCTTCTGCGCTGGTACAATCTTTCCTTATACAAGAAATATGTTCCATGAGAACTGGCGCCTCAGTTTCACCAACACTTAAGTTTTCGAGAGTGGGGACAGATGTTTCAATAACGTTACCTTCATAATCGTTATTCTCCTGTCATAGATTTATGTCTTATAAGTTTTGCACTTAGAAAAGAGTGCTTTTGTCCTGCAGCTGGGATGTTATTGGTGAAATTTGAGTACCCGCTTCTTCGAGACTTGGGACATTTAGAATGTCGTCGAAAACTCATCAAGCAAAAACCACTATCGGCAATTGAAAAAAAGGTCTTGCTCGAGTAGGAATTGTAATTATATTGTCTACTGCGAAGCATAAAGGGGAGAAACGCACTCACTTTAACTTTACTTAACGCTTCTAAAGTTCTACGGCAAAAGAGTAACTTTCCCCCCTGAGACTGTGGAAAACAGCGTTGGGGGGTTTGAGTTAAAAAGATTCTAAATAAATAAGAGTTTGGTCATCAGTCATTTTAAACACCGGTAATAAAGTTAGCACGAGTTAGTGTTAGGGACCCACTAAAGTTGGAATAGCTTAATGAAGAAATAGTAAAATTAGTATTGAGGTTTAGATGGTAAACCTTCGAAATAAGGAGCTAGTTCGACTCTGGGCAGTACAAGATTATAAGGATAATAGTTTTAATAGATTCAAATCGAATAAAAAAACTATTAAGATTAAAATACTACAATTAAAGTAGGAAAAAAATAACCTAAGTTTAGGTTTCTATCTGTCTTTAGACTTTCCTCTACTATAACCTAGCGTCATCTAACAGAATATAAAAAACTTTAAATAATACATATTCAAGATTAGTCAACATTGACCCATATTCTAATTAGTTAATTGGTGTACTAGACTTAGTGTTAAAATGAGTGAATCTCAATTTAGTGCTAATTACTACAATAATTAAGCCCCTCGATTTACATGTATAAAGAGAAACGCTTTTTCGCGTCTCTCGATGCGCTCGAACGCCCTGTGCGTACATTTTATCTCAAACATCTTTGTATCTTGACTTTTTTAGCGCGGGACGTTCGAGGTATCCATTAGTGCGCTTTCATCCCAGCGACAGGCTGTTTTCGACCATAGTCTAAAGAAAGGTCCTACTCAGCTGTGTAGGTTGGCCTCTTAGGGGGAGGACTAGACGGTACTTGGTGCCATGGACTGTTAGCTAATCTCGAAGCTTTCGTTCACTAATGCACGCTCTTTAACGGAGCAACGGTTCATTTGTGCCGTCTGGACGTTCTCGTAAAGTGGTCAAAAAAGATTGATCCTTTATATTCAAATTCGCGTGAAATAAAATAATAAATAATCCATTTAATATAGTAAAATAATGGAATCGAATTGAAGTGAACAATTATGCTTTACTGCTTTCTTTGACTCTAGCTGAAAAGATAAAGTAGGCTATTTTCCTCTATCATACATTCAAGGTAATAGTTGAACACAGCAAGGCGTGACTATGGCTCTAGGTGACATCGCTCAGGATCAGCTTGCGCCTTAGCCGTAGCCGATAACGGACTACCCGAACACAGTGACCTAGGTTAATCAAAAAAGATAGCTAAAGATTTATTGTTTAGTTTTCCGTAAACTGAATGTGCTTCAGAGATAAAAGATAGTTAAAAAAGCCGAAAAATTAAGGAAATTCATATTTGCCTGAAGTCAATCGATTGTCGTTTCGCTATTTTTGAAATCATTAAAGGACTCTACGTGGTAAAATTAAAATTAACTATCTAATTAAAATATCTTGGTATCGAGCTATCTTCAAAGTAGTATAGTAGTTAGTGTCATTATCTCGACGGTTAGGCAGATCCATTCGACTTTGTCTAGTAGTTGGCTAAGTTATAGACTCTAGTATGTCAAGCGTACTACCTGTGGTGAACAGTTGCGGACAAAAGCTCCTGTTCTACTCTGGAATAAAGTTTTTCTAATTAACTGAACTTAAAATGGGTTACCCTAATAAGAGGGTTGCTATGATGAGCGTTATTAAATGACTATACGCATCGGTTCGAGATGTTTTAGGTTCAAAACAGGTTCTAACATGGCATTATACGCGATTTTACTCATGTACATTTCTTGCCAGTTGTGAGATGTGCTCACCGAATTAGCCAGATTTGGCTAAATTTGTGCTGATGTTGGCTAGTTTGGAGCTAATTTTTAGATTAATTTTGACTCCATTTGGCTTAGTGCCATAGTCAGTACTGCTATTCGCATCGATTCGAGATGCTTTATGACTGGCTGGAAGCCAACTCTGAACTATATGCATTTAAATACTAATGATATGGTAGAGTTGGAACTTGGTACTATGCTTCAATAGTGTAGTAGCAGGGTTCGGTACTAAACTCTCATGCTAACGGTAGCTTTACGAGTATAATTTTAATTATTATTCATGGTAGGCCGTGGATCGCGCTGCCTTTCTTAGCATTTAAAAAGTGTTTACTTCTCATATAGGATATAATTCTAACATCTCATACTCTCCAAGGCTATTAATGAAAAGTTCTACTTCGAAATAAGCTTAAAAAATCTTGATTATTATACGTATCTAAGGAAAAGTTTTGGTGAAATTGGCTAAGGTCTAACTACTGTACCTTTGAGCTAAATCTGCCTGGGCACTTGTAGAGTTAATTGTGACTATTAAAAGAGTACTTGCTTATCATGAATGCAGCAGTTTAGAAGAGCACTTAGCAGAGAAAGTAAAGTATTATAATAGTATTGTTTACTTTACTAATGCAAACTAAAGTAGCACCCCCTCCTTAAACTTTTATGGGTAATAGTACTTTTTAGGCCCTTTTGGGGGGTCTTTTTCAATAATTTATCTTATATGTTTATTAAGCTACCCCAACTCGAGTCCTACTTTACTCATTCGAGTTCAATCCGAAAGACTCTTTTACTCTTCCAAGGTGAAAGAACTTAAAAACTTCAATTTCAATAGATCGATACTAGTAATAACTTTAACAACTAGGAAGTAATCTTGGCTTCTAACTTTGATCCTACTCAAAATCGAGGCTCTACTATCTGTTTCTGAATTTCCTTCGTTTTGTAGTAATATCGGCTTATTTTCGAGAATTGACGAGTGATCTATAGATCTGGACAGTGATCTCTAATTTCCCTTAAGTTCATTGAGGTGGAATATCCTTGACCTCTCTCTTTGTCTTTCTGCTTTGATAACTACCTTTAACAGATTATTTGGATCCAATCAAGGTGCTTACCTTGTGGATGATGTCTTTGCATTCGCTAACTAGACTTGCTTGTTAGAGGTTTGACCATGTTGCTTAAAAGTTAAGTAACCTACAAAGCGATAACAAATCTTTCACTTAATTTAAATCTTCGCGTGGAGTACTAAACTCGCCTTTAGAAGCAGTTTTAATCCTAATTTGCTTAGAAAGATCATGAGAATCCCTGTTAAACACTTGGCTGTGAATATGCTAAGTTACTCGATTAAGATCGTGTTCAGTGCAAGTACGCACGTTTGTTTTTAATCAGGAAGTATCCATGATTGTTATCGTTATAATTTTTGAGTAAACGTTTTAGTGCTGTTACCTACTGAAAATACTAAATATTATTAACTTTTTTATTTTTATTCAAAACAGTGCTGTTATCTACAATATTTAAGCACCGGAATCGCTCGTATAATAGATAAGAGCTTTTCGCTCGTGCCTCGTTGCACTCGCTCGTCCTGTGCGGGTATTTTGTCTTGACTTTTAAATCTTTTTATTGCAATTTTAGCGCGGGATGTGCGAGGCTTCCTTTGTTATCGCTGCGACCACAGCGAGGTTGGCGTCAGTTACCCTTTAAAGATCCATTCTTGGTAGCTGTGCAGATTGGTGCTATTCAATGGTAGTATTAGGCACTCTTCTGGTGCCTTTGACCGTTGGCTTAAATCTAACTGATGAGCCTTCGCGATTTTCACTGTACATTCTTTAACGGTGCAGCGGTTTGCTTTTCGCCATCAGGGCGTTATCGTAAAGCGGTAAAAAAGATTGGCCCTATTTATAAAAGTAGAACTCAACTTATGCGTTAATCCCAACAAGTTTGCAATGGTTTCGATCTAGGTTGCCATCCGGAGGTGGAATGCTGCATGCAAGTACACTTAACTTAAACGGGTCCTGTATCACTCTACTCTGCAAAGGAGTCAGAACTTGGTTTCAGTAAAAACTAACACAATCTATTTGAAATCAACTATGACACTAACGGCTAATTAACTGCGAAATCCAGCAGAGTGATTATGGTAACTTCCCTATTAGAGCTCTGAGATGGGAGGTCTACAGTACTTCGGAAAGTTCTACAGTTGCAATAACTAGCTAAATCAACCAATCAAATTTATGCTAGGGACGCATGGGTCGAAAGATCTGCTCTTAAAACTGGTAAAAACTCTAGGTAGGGCAAAGTTCTTCGGCAGGTTAAATCTTACCTGTAGCTTAAGTTTTAACATTATGGTTAGTAACGTATTGTTCACTAACGAGAAACGAGATTTGGTCCTAAACGGATTAAATCGATGGCTTTATAGATAAACCTAATAATAAACACACAAACAGATCACAACTGTTTCACTTTATTAGGACAACTTCGCTATAAGTACTAGCATTGCCTTCCGAAGCAGTTCATTGTAATAAGTGGGGGAAGAGCATTGGAATCCTTGGCTGAAACCTTGGTACATTGTGCTAAGTTGCTAAGTTAATATCTTGTTCAGTACAATTAGGTGCGGCCAAAAGCAAACTTGAAACTTGGCTTAGCAATGAGTGATGATAGCTAAGATTATTTGTCTCCTTCCAAGGCTTGGCCGCCGGAGTGTAACCTCGCTGTAATAGCGTGTTACTTTGGTCTTAGCTACTAGTGCTATATATATAAGGCGACCATTTTGGTTTATTTATTTTGTACGGTGTTATATTTTAACTGCTAAAACCCCATGAGCGAAGAAGCTAGTTGAAACCTGGCCAACACCTTATTTAAGTCTTTGATTAGTGTTATTTACCCACAAAAATGTGAAAACTATAACCTGCTATCTTTTTAAGGGTATAAGCACTGTTTTTGACACTTTGGACGTGTTATTAAATAATCAAGACGTTTAAAACCCGTATAAGAGATAAGAGCCAATTAACTCTATCTCGATGTACGCTTTTTCTCCTGCGCGTAGCATCTTTTTTATCAACGCAGGAGCTAGTGTCGCATCCTCTATTGGGCTGCGATCACAGCATGATACACGTCGGCGATCCTTTAAAGATTTAATTTTGGCAGCTGTGAAGGTTGGGCTATTAGTGGTAACACTAGGCTTCTTTTGAGACCTTTGACTGTTAGCAATTCTCGGTGCTGGTGTACACTCTTTAGTGGAGTGAGAATATTGTTTTTTTGTCTGTAGATCGTTATCGTCAAGCGGTCGAAAAAGATTGTCCCTATACAA